CCCCCCCCCCCCCCCGGGGCACGCTGAGATGGCAATTGAGACTGAGGCTGGTGGTGAGCACCCAGCTCTTGGGAGGCTGTAAACAGGCGGATCACTACTATTGAGTCCAATCTAGGAGTCAGACCCTGAACACCCTGTAGAACCTTCCCTAAAATTAAAAAATAAAAATAAAAAATAAAAATCAGGCATGGTGGCCTAGGCCTGTAATCCCAGCCTTTGGAAGGCTGACACAGGAGGAATGCAAGGAGTTTAAAGTCTGAGTTCAAGGCCAGCCTGGACTACACAATGGACTCTAATTCAAAAACAAATAAATAAATAAATAAATAAATAGAAAAATAAGAAAAAGAAAAAGGAAAAGGAAAGAGTTTATCTGAAGATGGGGAAGGAGGAAAAGACAAGGACAGGAAGCTACTTGGACAAATAGAATTCAAAAGTGAATTGTTTGCCTGCAGCCCCTTTTATTGTGATCTTGGTGGTACAAAGGTGCTTAGGACCCCATTGGCTCCTTGGTTTGTCTTTTGTCCTAATCTTGGATTTCTTCTGGTCATATGACCTTTCCCAATCCTTTGGTGAAGGATAAATTTATAGCTAGTTTAGGCTAAAGGACTAAGTGAAGAAGAATTTTGCAATTTTCTGGAGTGTTTTGTTTTGGTTTTTCTTTTTGGGGGGAGTAGGTACTGGAAATTGAACTCAGGACCTCATGCTTGCCAGGTGCCGTGTCACTGAACTAAATCCCTGGCTCTGTGTGAGTCTCCTGTTCGTCAAGCTACCTAGTAATTTTCCAGTCCTGAGCTCTTTGCCTTTGTCTTCCTAATTGCTAGAGTTTAGCTGCCTTTGTCTAGCTCCTTGGTCCAGCTGCTTTTGCCCTTCTAATTGCTGGAGTCTGCCCTGCAGAGGTCAAAACTGCCTTAGTGAGCTGGTGTCGTGGCGCACCCGTGTAATGCGAGCACTCAGGGGGAGGCTGAGGCAGGAAGATTGCCTGTGAGTTCAAGGCCAGCCAGGGCTACATAGTGAGCTCAAGGCCAGCCAGAACTACACAGTGAGACCCTGCCTCAAAAGAGAAAAGAAACTAAAAACCACAGGCATGAGGGTGGGGGACAAGGGGAGACCTCACTCCAGGATATGAGTCACTAACCTCCCCATGGGATCTTTTCCATTTTCAGGTACTCTATCTTTCTAGAGCCCAGGGAATGGGGAGGGGGGGAGGTACGCTATGGTCTTTTGTGTGTGAGTGTGTGTGTGTGTGTGTGTGTGTGGTACTGGGGATTGAACTCAGGACCTTGCGCTTGCCAAGCAAGCACTTATTCTACTGAGCTATCTCCCCAACCCTACACCATGGTCTTGGGAAGCCCAGCTCCAGCCTTACCTCAGTCAGGCTCACCAGCCCTGAGCCCCTGGTTTCCTTTCTACCTCACTCTCCTCTATCCCCCACGCACCCAAGGGCCCATGCTGCTGGCTACAATGGGTCCTTGCTTTGTTAAAACTAGTTCAAGCGGGCTGGTGAGATGGCTCAGTGGTCTAAAGCACCTACTTAGAACAAGCGAAGCTAAAACAAAGCACAGGGACCACAGTTCAATCCCCAGCACCACATGCCAGCCAGCCCCGCCCCCTGGTGGGCTGAGCTGGACACACACACACACACAATAAATAAATGTTAAAAATAAAAAATTAAAAAAAAAAAACTAGTTCAAGGTCTTGAGTTCGAATCCTGGTACAAATAAATAAATAAACTAAAGCATATGTGTATAGGAAAAAAGCTTCAACTGGAAAGTTACAGGGAAGATAGGAAGTGACTCCACCCCAGGTCACCAGAAAGGACATGCTCCGGTATAGGGGTTCAGACTGGCCCACCCCAAAGGCAGAGGCCAGTTTTGAAGGATTGCCTGCAGGCCATGGTCCAGTTTATCTCAAGCCCTGCTGTCAGCTCTGCAAGCCTCCTGGCTGAGGCCTGCTTCTGTTTCTAGGAAAGGCTGTCTGTCCATGGTAGTCTCAGTTTTTTTGGCCTCCACTTTTCCTGGAATCCAGGTGACCACAGGTTCAGGACAATGACCGGAAGCTCCTGGGCCTGGGCGTAGTGGACCCGTCCTTGTAAACCTCTTGTCATGGTGTCCTCAGTCTTGGAGGATGAGATCGTGGCGACTCAGGACAATTGGCTGGCTTCTCAGCTTCTCCACAAACACTGCCTAAATGACCAGCATGCCCATCGGCCTGCCACAGGGGCCTGAACAAAATTTACGGTAACAAAGATACAAAATGAGGGGCTGGTGAGATGGCTCAGTGGTCTAAAGCACCTACTTAGAACAAGCTTAGCAAAGCACAGGGACCGCGGTTCAATCCCCCAGCACCACATGCCAGCCAGCCCTGCCCCCTGGTGGGCTGAGCTGGCCACACACACACACACACACACACACACACACAAATAAATAAAAATTTAAAAAAAAAGATACAAAATGAGGCTGGGCAGATAGCTTGGCGGTCTAAGCACCTGCCTGGCAACCGCAAGGGCCTGGGTTCGATCCTCCTGGACTGCATGCCACGCTAACCCCAGAACCCCGGGAACGCTGTGCTGTCCACCAAAAACAGGCATAGCACACGCCTGTAATCCCAGCGCTGG